CTCACCACCTCCAGCCTAACTGCACTGCAATTGTTCTCCTGTTTCCGATGTCAGATCTCCAAGGTATCAACGAACCTTGCTGGGTATTTCCCCTATATGTAATCATTGGTTATGAGAATCAGAAATTAATGGGATGTTGGTTTTTGGAGTATCACTGTATATTTAAAATACTAAAATTTATATGATATAGTGCGAGGTGCCTCGTGAATGAAGCTGTGTCACAGCGTAGACTGGAATTTTCCACTGGCACAGAGCTGTATTACTTAATGCAAACTCAACTGTAGGTGGGGTGGGTCTCATGTTACTAACCTGACTTGATGTATCTAAATTTGCACTCCCTCAAGGGACATAGAGTGAGGGGCGATATGATAGAGGTGCATAAATGGAAGTCAGGGTTAAACAAAGGTGATATACCAAAGGTACTCAAACCATCCAACCAGGAGGGAACTCGTAGCAATGGTTTTGAGTTAGACAAATTTAGATTTAGGCATTATATAGGTAAACACTGATTTGGAAATAGAGTACTTGTAGGGGATGAGTGGAACAAGTTACCAAACATCATCATTAACTTGAACACACTGGATAGCTTCAAATATTGGTTGGACAGATATATGGGCAATAGGGGTTGGATATACTGAGACACATGTTAATCTCAGCCATTTACTGAATACAGCATTTGTTTTCTGGGTATTTTTGAGTTGAAAGTATGGTAAGATATGGTTTAAAGTGTGAGGAATCTTTATTCACAACATCTGCTTTAATTGTGTTAGAGAAATGAATTTGGTAATATTACATATATGGAGATGCATTCCTGATGATGTTATTTTTTACCTATGAGATATATACAGTATTTTTGTATATGAAGGGTACACTCACGCGCCATAGTTTCGATGCACCCTCTACCCCTACCCCTGACTCGATGGAAGTCGTAGCCTTGGTTTCATACTGAAAGTTTCCCCCCCTCCCACTTCTCCCCGCCCATCGTTCAGTGGTGCAATGTGGTAGCTCGAAGCTTCGCTGGATTGTACGAATAGCAGTTCGTGATGTAATATTTGAGAGAATATATGCACGATACAGGATTTTAGTGACTTCACAACACTTTATTTACCATTACTATACTTAACATCACTATACAAGAGGGATCGTTCAGTTTGCAGCCCTGACTACAACTTCCCTCGAGTCAGGAGTAGGGGTAGAGGGTGCATCGAAACTATGGTGCGTGAGTGTACATGTATTAATAAACACAACTTTATTCCCAGGCCCAGAACGGAGAGGTTTGGAGAGATTTTCTTGGAACCTTCTCAGGATTTTTCTGGAAAATGTACTTGATTTTCATCCTGTGAAGCTCGTTCACAGACCCAAAATGTAGAGAGTTTTCCCGTGATTTTTGAGCCCAATTTCAATTCCGGCTTATGTAGATTTCCAGGGATTAGGGATTCCGGTCAATGGGAGATTACTGATACAAATTAATACCTGTATCTTCCAGTGTATAATAAATTACAGTACTACTAACAAATCATAGAAATCATAATATTTAATATTTATTGCACACTGCTTAGACTGTCATCTCCAAAGGGATTAATGCTGCAAAAGAACAACTTTGTAAAGCTTTAAATGTTTGATCTAATACAGTACAGTATACAGGTAGTCCCCGGGTGATGTACGATTTCCATTCCTACAAACATTCTTAAGTAAAAAATATACAGTACAAACTGTACTTACAGAGCAATGTTTAAAATCCCACTATATCATAGCCTAAGTCCGTATATACATCTGAAATCACTTAATTTAACAGAAAAAAACAAATGGAATGACAAAATACTGCAAATGAAAGTAAAAAATAAGTCATCAGGTAAGGATAGTAGGTAGAAGGCAACCATCAAACAGGGAATTAATACCGCCTGGGAAGATATTGGAAGCATAAAAAAAAATAAGTTTAATTTTATGGGACCTTGTTCGGATCAGTGGGTGCCAGTAAGGCAGGAGTTCGTAAGTCGGGGACCCCCTGTATACTGTTTACTAAAAGCCACACACGTCCATACAGGCTGACATTGATACAGAGGCTACATAGATTCCCCCCAAGGGAGAAGCAGCAGAGTTAAGAAGTAATCATACTCTTGAAGCATAGGAACCTTCAAAAATTAAAATTAAAATAAGACGGCCATCATCAATACCAGCTGCTAACTGATACACAGAAATAATGAAAACTTACATAGCTTATCATTCACCAAACACACTGTAAATTAAGTGTGTATTCTACATACAGTAAGACTTTACATTAATGAACTCTGAAATTCTAAAACTCAGTTTTACTGCACTTTTTCAACAAATCCATTACAGTTCAGGTATGCCATTATTTGAGCAACAAAAGTTGTACAGAACATGCCTATCCTAGTGATCTTCCTTCATAATAAACATTTTAATAAATTAACATTAATATTTATGCCCTGAGGATACAATACATGTATGCTATCTAAAGTTTCATATAATTGCTAGCTTTTCATCGAGGAAATAGAGAGAAAAGACTGCAGGTTATATTTTTGTGGAGTAGTGCTTTAGAAAAAATCAATGAAAGGCTAAAACGTATCTACGAAAGTTCTAATTAATCAATGAGAGGACCGTTCTTATATCTCTGGGTTTGTGACCATAGTCTTCCACTCTAAATATTATAAAGGTTTTTTACCAACCCTCCAAGGTTTTGTATCTAGGGATCCAGTTTATAATTTAATTTACCCATTCCAGTCTCTGCCTTCCACTGGCCCTCCTACCCTCAACTTTGCCATTAATATTTCTGTTAATGTTCCCTCATCCCTAAGTATAATGACCAAAGTGTCTCATTTTTCTTTTATTGTATATTTCAAGTATTTGTCTTGAAGTTTTTGCTAATCTTAGTACTTCTTCATTTGCCTTCCCGTCAGAGTAGCTTATTCTTAGCATTTGCCTAAAACACCACATTTCAAAGGCCTCCAACCTCTTTCTGTTGACTACTGAAAGTATCCATGCATTTTTCTCAAATTGAAGTTAATGTCCCTTTTCATTGGGTCTTCTATATTAAATGCTGTTTTTGCTTGCCCTATTATTGTTTTGATTTCCTCTGTACATCTACCATTACAGCTAATGTTACTTTCCAAATACACAAACTTTTCCACTTAAGTTCCCTGTTGCCTGCTATACTTTTTATTTTAGGATTTATTTCCAATTTGGAAACAACCATTACTTTAATCTTTACTGCATTAACTCTTAAACCACTTTGTTATGACCCTCCCTTCACCGCTTACCCAGCTTCCACCACTGGTTACCAAAGGTAAGGGTCGTTTGTACAGGAACTGTAGATATCTCACATTTTTTGTCGAATTACCACTGACTGTCCCGCCAGTCTCTGGTAATTTCCCGACGATCGGTATCAGTGTACAGACAAACAACAGGCAGGTAGATTTCCATCAGATCACAGAAACACACTTGTGCACTGTAGGCTCCTTTAGTCACTAATTCTTCACAACACTGTTCACAGGGTAATGGCTTCACAACTCGACCTCTCACTTCGAATATATACATATAGTCAGCACACTACTAGTGTACAATTCCTTAGTCTTTTCACTTTTACTTTGCTCACAAGAATTCGACAATACTTGCACAACAATTAACTTCAGTTGTTCTACTAGGCTGATTCTTTACACTCTGAGCAGAAATGGTCGACTGACTCAAGGCCGCTCACTGCCGTTTATATATGTCTCGTCAGATGATCCTAGAACAACACAGACAGATCTGGGAAGTTCTAGTATGTTCTAATCTGATTGAGGCTTACAATGGGAAGTAAATCATAACACAAATGATGCAATACATTCTAGAATTTGCTTTCATAAGTAATACATCAGTAATACCCTGTACACAAAAATCTCCCTAAACTTGCCAAAATACAGTAGGATCTCAAGTTTAGCGAGTTTTAGATTCGCAATTCATATGTTTTGTGTTACTTTCAAAATTTCCAGCCTCTGAAGAATAGCGATTTTCATTACCAGTTTCGCAAGTCAATGGAGAGTGGGCAGCGTGCATTGTCATGGTCTTTTGTTATCCGCTGACCCGCTGGGTGTTTTTTGTTTACGGCAGTTAGTTTGAATGAGCAAGAGCAAGGGTGTAGTGACCTTAAATTATTATATAACCCATTGCGCTTACGTTTCGCGAGATTCTTGTTTAACTATTAACGATTCTTGTGTATTAGTGATTTTTTAGTATTAGCGATTCTTATGTATTAGCGATTCTTGTGTATAACGATTCTTGTGTATTAACGATGAGTGAGGTGTGCAATGTAAATGTCGGGAGTGATTCTGGTGGTAACGATGGCTGTAGAGAAGGTCAACAAGGAAAGCCCCAAGCCAAGCGTGACTACCGTAAGGGGGTCAAGAAGGGGAAATACACCCCTGAAATGAAATGAGAGATGTTTGAAATGATCAAAAGTGGTGCTCGTACCTGTGAAATCATGTGAAGGTTCAACTGCCCCAAATCAACCATACGTTCCCTTAAGAAGAACAAGGAAGCCTACATTTTTTAAATGTTTATACAGGCCTCCTGAATGAATAAAAAAAAATATGAAATTGAAAATAATATCGTAATTTGCCTTGAGGATTACTAACATGTACCATACTAATTCCTCTGGCATGCCATGGTGGGCACAAATGCCGCCCATAGTTTTACCATTCCTGTAATAAACATTACCTGTATCAACATCAATCACACTACATTGGTGGCAGCCTATTACTGTATGTTTTAACAATTTACATGTTACCAAGATTTAGACAGTACTGTAATGTATGTTTGGATTTGACAGAAATTCAAATTCCACGACCAAGTTCTAGATTGAACGAGTCCAATAAAGTAAAGTCATATTGTATAACGAAAGCTCAACCATTTACCAAAAATAGCAGAGAGTAAGGCTTTTACCACGACAAGAAAGTCACTGCAATACAAAGCAAATTGAGGATTTTTTCTTTTTATTTTCATACCTCCATTCCAAGGCAGACCACTGGTGTCCCAGATATTGATGCCACTACCAGGAAGACCAGCAACTGCACCATTCTTAGTCTCCAGAGTCTCAACCACCTGCAGGAATGACAAGTCACATAGTCACAATACATCTGATTAGAATGTTGCATTGGAATGATTATTCTATTTTGTACTTGCATACTTTTAGAATACATGTATTAAAAGAAAAACTACAGGTACACCACCGATTTTCCAGCACCCTTGGTTCCAAAGCTTGCCGGATTATCCGTTTTGCCCGACCAACTGAGGTCACGTAATAATAATTCAACAATATACCTCTGAGCATCATTACTGTACACACTTACACACTTTGTGCTCAAATCTAATATACTATAGAACTAGGTGTGTGTGTGTGTGTGTGTGTGTGTGTGTGTGTGTGTGTGTGTGTGTGTGTGTGTGTGTGTGTGTGTGTGTGTGTGTGTGTGTGTGTGTGTGTGTGTGTGTGTGTGTGTGTGTGTGTGTGTGTGTGTGTGTGTGTGTGTGTGTGTGTGTGTGTGTGTGTGTGTGTGTGTGTGTGTGTGTGTGTGTGTGTGTGTGTGTGTGTGTGTGTGTGTGTGTGTGTGTGTGTGTGTGTGTGTGTGTGTGTGTGTGTGTGTGTGTGTGTGTGTGTGTGTGTGTGTGTGTGTGTGTGTGTGTGTGTGTGTGTGTGTGTGTGTGTGTGTGTGTGTGTGTGTGTGTGTGTGTGTGTGTGTGTGTGTGTGTGTGTGTGTGTGTGTGTGTGTGTGTGTGTGTGTGTGTGTGTGTGTGTGTGTGTGTGTGTGTGTGTGTGTGTGTGTGTGTGTGTGTGTGTGTGTGTGTGTGTGTGTGTGTGTGTGTGTGTGTGTGTGTGTGTGTGTGTGTGTGTGTGTGTGTGTGTGTGTGTGTGTGTGTGTGTGTGTGTGTGTGTGTGTGTGTGTGTGTGTGTGTGTGTGTGTGTGTGTGTGTGTGTGTGTGTGTGTGTGTGTGTGTGTGTGTGTGTGTGTGTGTGTGTGTGTGTGTGTGTGTGTGTGTGTGTGTGTGTGTGTGTGTGTGTGTGTGTGTGTGTGTGTGTGTGTGTGTGTGTGTGTGTGTGTGTGTGTGTGTGTGTGTGTGTGTGTGTGTGTGTGTGTGTGTGTGTGTGTGTGTGTGTGTGTGTGTGTGTGTGTGTGTGTGTGTGTGTGTGTGTGTGTGTGTGTGTGTGTGTGTGTGTGTGTGTGTGTGTGTGTGTGTGTGTGTGTGTGTGTGTGTGTGTGTGTGTGTGTGTGTGTGTGTGTGTGTGTGTGTGTGTGTGTGTGTGTGTGTGTGTGTGTGTGTGTGTGTGTGTGTGTGTGTGTGTGTGTGTGTGTGTGTGTGTGTGTGTGTGTGTGTGTGTGTGTGTGTGTGTGTGTGTGTGTGTGTGTGTGTGTGTGTGTGTGTGTGTGTTCTGGGCGGCCGACAGCTGTCTTTTCATCAAACTTGAAAATCGCAAAAAATTCGTAGAGTGGAACAAACCTGGTCCCATGTCGATAGTTTCTTTAGAGCCATTACATAACCATTTTATTTACGCTGGAAAACGATGCAAGTCTATGGACGGCGCACCCTCATTCGCTGTATGCTGTCAGCCCAGGATTGCAGTTATCGTGCGACTCCTCCTCCTCCCCCACTTTTTTTCTTAGCCTACTTTATTTCTTAATGTTGTTTGGATTAGTAAAGGAAGGAAGATGAGTAAATAGAGGAATCAAGAAGGAAACAGAAAATAGTTAGAATTAACAGGTGAGGGCTGAGGTTTCATCATGCGTCTGGATGCGCAGTTTCAACGTTACCAGACGACCTTACAGCTACAGTGTATACTTATTCCTGTGGCTCATGAAACGGAGAAGAGATAACAACAGGAATGCATGGAGAAGATGACTACAATAGACACAGGGTGAATATAGACAGTGAAACAGACAGGTGGTTGACAAAAATAGACAGATTCATAAATGCAAATAGACAATATGGCATGACAGACAGACAGCTGACTGATTGGTTCATTAACAAACAGACACGCCAACAACGGATAAGACGAACAGATTTGACGACACAAAGAGAACAGAGGGCTTACATTCAAACACCACGCAGACGGACATACAGTTGGGATAGCAATTGACAGGACGGATAGACTCGAAACAGATTAGAAAGCATTTATTAACAAGAATAACACCAAATTAACCATAGCTGCGTCAGTGAGGGTAGGAGGTCTTACATCCACCAGTGTAAAAAAAAGACGCATTAAAAACCAAGACCTACAGCGGAAAAACATCAATGGTCGGTCATTCATGTGAGATGGGCCTAAAACTGACTAACGTAGATGATGACTATGATGACTTAACAGGTGATGACTTAAGCAGATGGTGACTAATATAACCAGAATCAAGGTCACTTCTCTTCATAATATAATTTATCTCGGAATGATCATCGGTGATTCATAATAATTTTTTAAAATGATTTTAACCCCTCCTTATGGCGAATATTTCTTTAATTAATTAATCTAACGTTTATTCTATTCCTTTTTATAGTATATTAGATACTGTAAGTATCGTGACCACGACCATGATTATAACAACCAGACCATGATTATAACAACCACTACTATGATTACAACAACCACGACCATGATTATAACAACCATGACCATGATTATAACAACCACGACCATAATTATAACAACCACGACCATGATTATAACAACCATGACCATGTTTATAACAACCACGACTATGATTAAAACAACCACATCCATGATTATAACAACCACGACCATGATTATAACAACCACGACTATGATTATACCAACCACGACCATGATTATAACAACGACGACCAAGATTATAACAACCACGACCATGATTAAAACAACCACGACCATGATTATAACAACCAGACCATGATTATAACAACCGCTACTTTGATTATAACAACCCACGACCATGATTAAAACAACCACGACCATGATTATAACAAACAGTATGATTAAAACAACCACGACTATGATTATAACAACCATGACCATGATTATAACAACGACGACCGTGATTAAACAACCACGACCATGATTATAACCACGACCAAGATTATAAAACCATGACCATGATTAAAACAACCACGACCATGATTATAACAACCAGACCATGATTATAACAACCGCTACTTTGATTATAACAACCCGACCATGATTAAAACAACCCGACCAAGATTATAACAACCCGACCATGATTAAAACAACCACGACCATGATTATAACAACCAGACCATGATTATAACAACGCTACTTTGATTATAACAACCACGACCATGATTAAAACAACCCGACCATGATTAAAACAACCGACCATGATTATAACAAACCGACCATAATTAAAACAACCACGACCGTGATTATAACAACCATGACCATGATTATAACAACGACGACCAAGATTATAACAACCACGACCATGATTAAAACAACCCGACCATCATTATAACAACCAGACATCATTATAACAACCACTACTATGATTATAACAACCACGACCATGATTAAAACAACCACGATCATGATTATGACAACCACGACCATGATTATAACAACCACGACCATGATTATAACAACAACCGCGAAGTTATAACAACCCGACCGTGATTATAACAACCATGACCATGATTATAACAACGACGACCAAGATTATAACAACCCGACCATGATTAAAACAACCACGACCATCATTATAACAACCAGACCATGATTATAACAACCACTACTATGATTATAACCACGACCATGATTAAAACAACCACGACCATGATTATTAACCCGACCACCAGTTATAACAACCCGTGCGTTATAACAACCCGACCATGATTATAACAACCACGACATGATTATAACAACCATGACCATGATTATAACAACAACGACACTGATTACAACAAACACGACCATGATTATAACAACCATGACCATGATTATAACAACCATGACCATGATTATAACAACAACGACACTGATTACAACAACCACGACCATAGTTATAACAACCATACCATGATTATAACAACCATGACCATGATTATAACAACAACGGCACTGATTCAACAACCACGACCATGATTATAACAACCACGACCATGATTATAACAACAACGACACTGATTACAACAACCACGACCATGATTATAACAACCACGATCGCAGTTATAACAACCGATTAGCAGTTATAACAAGCACTGATTACAACAACCACGACCGTAGTTACAACAACCACGACCATGATTATAACAACCGCGTACGCAGTTATAACAACACGACTATGATTAAAACAACCCGACCATGATTATAACAACCGACCATGATTATAACAACCACGACTATCATTATAACCACGACCATGATTATAAAACCACGACCACCAGTCTAACAACAACTCTGACGCAATTATAACAACAGGACCATGATTATAACAACCACGACCATGATTATAACAACCACGACCATGATCCTAACAACTCGACCATAATTATAACAACCACGACTATGATCATAACCACGACCATGATTATAACGGCGACCAAGATTATAACCACGACCATGATTATAACAACCACGACCATGATTATAACAGCGACCAAGATTATAACAACGACTATGATTATAACAACACGACCATGATTATAACAACGACGACAGGAATTATAACAACCACGACCATGATTATAACAACCGACCATGATTATAACAACCACGACCATGATTATAACAACCACGACCATGATAACAACCATGACCATGATTACAACAACCACGAATATGATTATAACAACCACGACCATGATTATAAGAAACGACCATGATTATAACCGACTATGATTATAACAACCACGACCATGATTATAATATCACGACCATGATTATAACACACAACTATGATTAACAAGCACGAGATTGAATATAACCAAGACCATAATTATAACAACCACGACTATGATTATAAATATGACCATGATTATAACAACCACGACCATGATTATAAACCACAGCCATGATTATAACAACCTGACCACGATTATTGAAGGTTCGGTGTTTCCCTGAAGAAGACA